AATTCAGGCTGTCCTTAAACACACTATGTAGCCCAGGCTGGCCTTGAATTCACTTTGATCCTTCTGCCTCGGCCTCCCAAGTGCTAGGATTACACCCACTACTTTAATATCATTTTCTGGCTGTGACATCCATCCTCGCTCTTTTATCCTTTCTATGGTTTTCTTTCCTTCTGACACTCACCTAGTCCCACAGTCTCAGCTCCATGGAGTTTCCTTTCAAATCTAAATCTCTTAACTTTGACATCCAAATTCCAGACTTTTCTGACTTCTTGCTCAGCATTTCCATTTTTATGTTTCCTCAGGACCTTAACTGACCTTAACATCCTTCCCCAAATTAGCTCTTCTAACTTTTCTGTTGTTACTATTGACCACCGTTCCCTAGATCTGAAATTATAAAATCAGCTTCCTTCTTCCTCCCTGTCTATAAACAGTCTGACACTAAGTCATGTAGATCCTACTTTCATATTTCATATAATCTGCCTTTTCTACTTCTGCTATATCCTGTCCAAGCCCTAGTCAGTTCTCTTAGCTCCAAGGGTAATTATCACTTCTTTCTGTATCTCCTCAAGCTATCCTTTCTACCTTTGTGACCTTGTTTTTTTAAAGGCATGATTACATCACTTTTTCAAGAACTTCCAATGACTTCCCTTTCCTGCACAATAGAGTATTAATTTCTCAGCTTGGTATTCAAAGTTCTAATTCCCAAACTTCTTTTTCTTTTAGAAGATACTTGTTACTTTTTAGCCAAGCACTATATTATTTGCTAAAAATTAAAAAAAAAGAAAATCGCAGAACAGGAAAAAAAAAAAAAGTCCCTCAGAGTCCATGCCTCAAGGCATCTAGTCTGCTAGAAGAGACAGGCAGAGAATTAGACAAGCCTTTGTGAGAGTACAGAGATAAAGGTGCACAAGGAAGGGTGTGGGGAGGACTAAGGAGCCTTGCCTGCCCAATCCAGCTGAAGGTTGTTTTCATCTGTAACTAACAAATTCAAATCATGTACTATCTTTAGTTTTAGATTTCCAATTATAATCTAGTATATAAAGATCAGAAATTTAGTTGCTTAGCAAACTTTGACTTCATTTCACAGTGTGTTGCAAGCTTTATGGCTTATAGTATCTTTTATTACCCCAAACCTCCAGTAGGCTATAAACACCTAATTCATCCCATTTTTAGAACAGCCATTTCACAGATATAAGTAACATGTAATAGCATACAAACATTTATAGTGCTTGGTCTAGAATTCAAATCACACATCTAAAGACAGTCTGTCTCTTTGAAGACCTGTCCCATATGACTGAATAACCCCATCCCTCCCTTCTTATCCTTTATGCCATTACTTTCCTGCATTGACTTCTGTATTTCATAACCTCCACAGCAGTTTTACTATTTTTGCTTTAACTCTTTTTAAAGACTTATTAAAATTCTTTATTTACCCACATGTAGGGTATCTTGTGGCATTCTGTTTCTGTTGTGTTTAATTCTTCAGCCTGCATAATTTCTTTTAACACTTTTTGTAAGGCAGGTGTGCTTGTGATGAATTCTGAAAAACTTCTTTTCCTTGTTTTTTTGAAGGATATTTTTGCATGGATACACTTCTGATTGAATGCTTTTATTTTTTCACACTTTAAAGATGTTAGTCACCCCATTGTGTTATGTTATACTACTTGGGCTATAGTGATCTACAAGGTACTTTTTTCATCAAATTTGGAATTTTTTTAGTCTTTTCTCAACCTTTTCTCCTGTCCCTCTTCTATTTTCTAAACAACACTCACATATCTTAGATTGCCTGATAATATTTCACGCATAACTAGTGCACTATCTGGACATTTGTTTTGCTGTTTTTTTTCTGATACTTTATTGTGAGTAGTTTTTATTCCATACCGATTTTTCTGCAGTGTCTAATCTGCTGTTAATGTTGTCCGGTACATTTTTGACTTTAGATATATTGTCATATCTAGGAGTTTGTTTTGTGGCTATGGTTATCTTCCATTCCTCTCCTCATTGTGTTCATCCTTTTTGTTACTTCTTAAACCTATAGAGCATATTCACATTTAAATATAGATTTAAAGCATGATAATTCCATCTGTCATTTTTGGCCTCTTTAATAGTGATTGATTTTTTTCTCATATGTACAAGGAGTGTTACAGGGACTTACAAAATTAATAAAAGAATTATATTGTTAATTACATAAATGAAATAAGTTCCATGTGCTTTTTTTTTCGGTTGGATTGGCATTTGGGACATTTTTTAACCTTAAATATTTGCCATCCTTTATTTTTATTACAGGTCTGGCTCCATGCACCATATGAACTTCATCTTTCCTTATTCGAACACTTCATTGAGCTGCTCACAGAGTCCAGGTAGTAGTTAATACTCAAGTAGGCGACTGTTCAGTTACAGGGAACATGATAGTATGGTGATTAAACCTTCTTTCCCTTTCAGTGAGGCTTCAAAGAATGCCAAGCTAATGAGAGAATTCCAGTTAATCCCAAAGCTGCTTCTGACTCTGAGGGATATGTCTTTGTCCCAGCCGACCATCGCTGCCATTAGTAATGTGCTGAGCTTCTTGCTGCAAGGTTTTCCCAACAGCAATGATCTGCTCAGGTAGTGAAAACAACTGTGTTTGTCTCCTTATTGAGTAGAAGGGCCAGTGAGTTAAGACCAGTGAGATGCTCGTGATAGTTCCCGTGCCTGTGTGACACTTGTCTTGTTAACACCATCAAAGACATCTGTAAGGCGTGCAAACCATGCAGTGCCTCAGAGTCTTGCCTCTATGGGGCAAAGACTGTCGTCGCCACTAGGGAATCAGAATATTGGCCAGAAAAGATGTGGTAATTAGCTCAAGTGAAATTGATCATCCAGACATGAAAATGTCCAGTATAGGAATTTTCAGTCCCTTGCCCTCTTCCCCAAAATCTGCTAATTCTCAACTGTACACACACACACACATGCACGCACACACATCCGCATCACCTGTGTCACCACTTTTCTATTCAGTCTCTAATACTCAAACAGGTATATTTTATTGTTACATATTGAAACTTAATATGTGATGTATTATTTTGCTGAAGTAATAAGGCATATTTATGGAATGTTTGCTGAAATATTCTTTTGTTCATATCATAATCCCCATTTTAATAAAAAAATGGACAAAAAACTACATAAGCCAAGTATTTTCCAAGTGGGCAGTTGCTTAGACTCGGCTTGATCACCACTCCTCATGTGGTCGCCTAGGTAACAGGTGAAATCACATCCATGTGTTAGATCACCCTCAATCAGCTATGCAGTCACTCACTTTTATATTAATTTACCTTAGAAACGTATTTTTTTAACTTGGTGACATTTGAAACTGGACATTAAGAGTTATTTTGGAGAATTAGCTTTATCATCAATGTTTATTTAGAATTTATCCTGACATTAGTGATTACTTTGCTGAAAATTATAACTGAAACCTATCAAAGTTTTAATTTTTTCCCTCCTTTATAAATGAAGAAACAAAGACCCACAGAAGTTAAGCTGCTTGACTCAGGTCACATAGTTATAAAGGATTAGAGCCAGAGTTTTAACTGTATCTGTATTTCCAAAACCCAAATTCTTAATCACTAAGCTACAGTGCATCCTTACAGATAATGTTACAACGCTTGAACTTGGATTGATTGTGCTATATTGTTTGTGAAACCATTTTTTAGTGCATTAAAACAAATTCTTACTTCTGAAGACCTAAATTCTCTTAAAAACACAATTGTATATATGTTACGGTGTTGCATATGTGTGTTATTGGAGGTGGTCCAAGAGGAAACAAACCAAATACAATCAAGTAAATATCCAAGAGATAAAATAAGAAATGCTGTTTTGTTTTCCATTTCTTTGTATTCTGTTACTTGTTTTGAGGAAAGAAAAATAAAATCCATAATTTCTTTTTCCTTTTTTTTAAAGGTTTGGCCAGTTTATTTCTTCTACTTTGCCAACCTTTGCAGTTTGTGAGAAATTTGTAGTTATGGAAATAAATAGTGAAGAGAAATTCGACAGTGGTAAGTTGATCCTGGAGTTTGAGAAAGATAGCAATCAACTAATTACTATGCCCTTTCTCTTTTGACACAAAGTGATAATGCCATGTAATTTTTCTCCTTACTTTGCAGTTTTTAGTCTTCCAGAGGTGAATCTGTTTTATATAAGCCCATTCAATATGCAAAAAAAGAGAACATTGTGTACAAAATTTAGTGGAGTATAAATTTTACCCCAGATAAAATCTTCAGAACAATAAAAATTTTAGAGCTTTCATAGCATTGATCCTTTGAATAGCAAATTCTAGTGTCATTTAAACATTATTTGATTTTTAAAATTTATATCCATTTTTGAAACATAATACTAGAGTCATTTTACATAAGTACAAGAATAACATATCATATATACTGTGTAATACATAGCATACAAGTAGTTGCAAGTTGTGAGTTCTGAGTCCATGAGAAGTACTTTTTTAAAGCATCTTTGCATATTTTTCTCTCTGCTCCTGTATGTTTTTTGTTATATATTGTAGGATGGGAAAGTTGATTGAAAGTGTTGAAAGGCCCTTTGGGGCTGACCTCTGTAATTAAATTCACAGATCATATACAGTCAGCCTGGGCTTCACCTGTGGATTCAACCAACTGCATGCTGAAAATATTTGGGGGCAAAATTACATCTGAGATGAACATGTACAAACATGTTTTTCTTGTAATTATTCCCTAAACAATACAGTAGAACAACCTTTTGCATAGCATTTATGTTGTGTTAGTTATTATAACAAAAGATGACTCAAAGCATATGGGAGGGATTGCATAGGATATATGCAAATACTGTGCCATTTTACAGAAGGGACTTAAGCATCAGTGGATGCTGGTGTCTGTGCGGGCCTGGAACTAGTCTCCCATGGATACTGACGGATAATTCTATTTACTTAGCATTCTTTTTGTTTTCTTATTCCCTTATTCCAAAGTCCTGTCACATGCATGATTTTCATTCATCTCTTAAAATTCCCACTCATGGAGAGGGTGGAGAAGTCCTGTAAAGTAAGGGTCCCGGCCTTGCAAAGGCATTTCCCTCCATGGTGTCTGTCTTGTCCTGAGCACAGTCTTTCTTATGTGTCATGAGTAAGAAAAAATAGTACAATCATGATTGTCAAAAGAGAGGGCAGGAGATTTGAGAGACTAAGCAAATTGCTGTGAATTACAGGGTAAGTTAGTGACGTATTTGCCATTCATTTGGAACAATGTTGATAATCCTTTGGTGAAACAGATTTGCAGTGGATTCAAAGAATAAAGATCACCTCAAGGGACAACACTTACTGAACACTGTTAAGTGTTTTATACCACAGCTCTGTGCTATCCGCATTTTATGGGACCATTTAAAATGTCTGAATAGATTGTCACTTTATTGTAGAAATACTATTTAAAGGAAGTGATTCTTATAGTATTTGAGGTCTAATGGGATGCTTTTGATAAGACAATTTGCATATCACCAGTATATGCCTCTGGGAAGAAGAGGGGAATCTTCAGTTTCCCTGGGTGAGCTGGAAGCATCCATAATGAATAAAACATTAAAGTACATAGTAAAAGACTGTTTAAAGCCAATAGTTACCCATGGTCCAAACAAGGAAAAGTATGTATGTAACCATGGTGATCCTCAGCCAAGCCTTATTTCTGGTATACAGGGCAATGTGGGAGTCACCTCATCACCTCCAGCTCTTCCATCGTGGAGCTGGCCTGGACCTTCGGGCTTCCGGGACCCAGGCCAAGCGATTCCACAGGCAGCTGCTGAGGTCCTGAGTGTCTGCCTTCCACTCCTTTCCACCTCCCCTTGTGCATTTGTGTGTCACTGCCTTTGTTCTAGGCTATGTGATTCTAATTTTCCTTTTCATATTATATTTATTGAATACATTTGTGCTTCATATTTTCAGTATTTAAATTTGGTAAATTTAACTGTGCCCTTCAAAAAGAAACTAGAAATGAATGTTCTGGGAGGTTGAGGTTCTGTAGCAATTAGAACTTTGATATCTATAGTCTTTGACATCTATTGATAGTCTTTGATATCTATAGTCTTTATTTGATGGCTTTTACCCTTTTTCAGGAGAGAAGAGAGTACTAATGTAAAAGAAGGCTTAAAGCCTTTTTCATCACTGATTAAATTAGGTAATGTCAGATATAAAGGAACAATGTGCAGGGCTCTAAAGAGAAATGATTTCACTGACCTTTTTCCTTGTCTGTGTTTTATTAGAGAAAACATTTTCTAAAAGATCTATTTTTCAGTGAGGTTTCAGAGAATCATGTTGGATATGTCTTAGTTCATCTGATATGGGTATTTAATGTATTTATTTTCACTTTAGGAACAGAAGAGGAGTTTGGAGGTCTTGTATCTGCTAATCTTATACTTTTGAGGAACAGACTTCTAGATATCTTGCTAAAACTAGTTTATACATCTAAAGAAAAGACAAGCATTAACTTGCAGTAAGTAGAAACTTTGGAATTGATGGTACCATATGCTAATACTGGTTAATTATATCAAGCAAAAGAAGAAATTGCCGCTGACTTTATATAGATTTTTTTAAACTATGAAATAAACAGTATCTCAAGAATGAAGCCCAGTCATGTCTTTTAATTTGAAATGCTGATTCCTGAAATTTATTTTATTTCTTTCAATCCACCTGTCTGTGAATAGAGCTTGTGAAGAACTGGTCAGGACCCTGGGTTTTGACTGGATTATGATGTTCATGGAGGAGCACTTGCATTCCACCACGGTGACAGCAGCCATGCGGATCCTAGTTGTCCTGCTGAGCAACCAGTCGATTCTCATCAAGTTTAAAGAAGGCCTCAGTGGTGGAGGATGGCTTGAGCAGACAGATTCTGTCCTAACCAATAAGATCGGAACTGTATTAGGTATGGAACTTCTACAGTCAGCTGCTTTCAGATAAGCTGTTGTGTTTTGTATTCAAATCTTAGCTGAGCTCGTATTCTCCATGTTGTCTCAGGACCATTCAATGTCATAAATTGCAATTAATTCTAGAATGAAAAGCTCAGAAGTTTTCAAATTCACACTGAAGTTGTAGGGAACTAAGATTTGCAAATTCTGAATTCCTATTATAATTCTTTGTAAGATAGGTCCTCATCTCATCTATAAGTAAATAATTAGCAAATTATCAATAGAACTGAAGTAGTAACAGTAATAATAATAGTAATGTTTATTGAGTGTTCATTCTTTGTAAGTTTCTAAACACTGTGTAGTAACTTACTTCCTTTGTATAATAACTGTATGAAGTGTAAATACTATCCTAACCAGTTTACAGATTAAAAAGCTAGATTGTGGGTGTGAAGTCACTTGACACACAGCTAGGAAGTAACAAAATTTGAATCCAGGTCATTCACACCCGAAGTCCAGTCTTTTGGCAGTTATGTAACAATGTGTTTGAAGACTGCAGCTCAGGGTTTCAGCCACAGCGACTCATTCTCTGTTCATTAGTACCATAGCTGTTTTCAAGATACACCCAAGCATTTATGTAATACCAGGAAACCAGAGCTTCCTGTCTTCCAATGTTAGATTTATATGAACTGGCATGTTTCTGTTCGTATTGATGATCTTACTTTAGGAAATATGTATTTGAAAATAATGCTTTTGTTTCAAAGTACAGGCTTTAATTCTTAAAGTACTTTAAAGATACATTTGTTCCTGCAACATTATATGAAATCGTATGTAATTGTGGTCTGTCTGATCCCAAGGAGATGATTACAGGAACTTACATTTGACAGGTGGGAAAGTTATGAGATCAGAATTTATACATAGTCCATTTATTTAGAATATGTAAAGGTGTTATCTGTAGGTATTACTAGGGTTACTTCAGCTATAAAGGCAAATGACAGGATGATAGAGCTTCCAGTGTAGGACTATGCTGTTTTATGGTTATTTTACATGTGGAAAATATCTAAAGAAACTTTGTATGTGATAAAGAACTAGTATCATTTCCAGTTAACCACAAAATGATTTTTTCAAGAAAACCGTTAGCTTTAAAATCTAGTTTCAGTCATTGTGTTTTTTTTTTTAGGGGTGGGGTGGGGGTTTGTTTTTGTTTTGGTTTTTTGAGACAGGGTGTCACTGTGTAGTTCAGCTTGCCAACTCATGGTGATCCTCCTGCCTCAGCCTCCCAAGTGCTGGGATTACAAGCATACACCCCCACATCCAGCTTTAAGTTATTATTATAGATATGTTTTGTGCTCTGAAAAATATATCACTATTTTTCATGGGCACTGGGGAAGACTAAAACCTAAAAATGTGTTTGTTGGGCACAGTTTTGTAAAATCTAGCTTGCAGACCTGAGGAATAGCTATGAGAAAATAAGCAACAGAAAGGGACTGCTTCTTTGGAAGGCCAAAAGCAGCACTAATAATAACACCTAAGATTTATAGAGCACAGTGTGATTTGCAAAATTTTCACTATGCCATCTCAGTTAGCCATCATGAATCTGAAATAGATACGTACTTCATAGTACTGAAATCATTTTTATAAGAAATAAATTAAGCTTGTTAGTATAAATTAAAAATTAGCCTCTCTACTTAGGAGATGAAGATTGTTAATTATATCAGGTTTCTGAGCCAGGAAGTAACAGGGTCTAAGAATCTATCTCCTCTCAGTCTTGGGCTTTATCCATCTGCCATCATATCAGTAATGTTAAAAGATGTGCATTTCCCATATCTGACCTGTTAACTCTCTGCATTAGAATTTGTTTGTCCCTCATCAATACCTGCTTGCACCTTGCATATGCTGTCCTGATTCCAGAAAAGGAATCAAAATATTCAATTTAAACTTGATCTCATTTAATTTAGTTTCTCCTAAATATCTATCTGCTAATACAGAGATGTCTGTATGACAGGAATATGTGTCATCTCATTTGATACTATTTCTCCTTGATCTGAGGAACAATCAAATGATTTTAACTTTAAAATTCATATTTATTAGATTCTGTAAATTTTTTTATAAAAATACCACCCATGCACCTGTAATCTGAATTAATGCCTAAAAATGCCTAATACCAATCATAGTATTTTAAATACTCCTTAGGATTAATAATGGGGGAATATAGTGTGGAACTTTAAAAAGGAAGAGACAGTACTAATATTGGTTTCCTGTTTTTTGTTGTTGTTACTGTTGTTCTGTTTTGTGGTGCTGGGATTTGAACCCAGGGCCTTCTGTATGCTGAGTAAGCACTCTACTGCTGAACTGCATCCCCAAGCCTCATAGTATTGCTTTTTTCGGACGTGCAGTTAGAGCAAAATTATTTTTCTATTTAATGTATAAAGTGCCACTTTATGTTAATACTTTCATTTAGAATTTACTATAAAGCAAAAAAAAATCAGCCTGGTGTCCTAATTAGCCATTCTTTAAGAAATGTGGAGAAGTTATTAATAGGGACACGGGAGAGCACAGTCCTGCAGACTCTAAAATAAAGATTTTGGGCTCCCATCCTTTACCACCATTCATCAACACTGTTATTGAGAATATCTTGTATTTTCTCTTATAAAATTGATAATAGCAATTTCTAATTCACCTATGCATTATGGCTCAAGATGATATATGAAAGAACCTGGTAAATTGCTGTACCAATTTTGTTAATTAGTGGGGTGAACTGTAGAAGATTAATTCACTTCACGCTGAGCAGTTGGTTAGGATAAAAAGCAAGCTAGACGTAAATTATTCTTTTATCATGTGAAGTAGCAGTGGCAAATATATAATATGTGCTTACTTCACCCTAGAAAAAAGAAATTTTAAAAATGTGACTCTCCATTTGAAATATAAATTGCTTTTGAGTACAGCAGTTCTACATTGCTTGGTTGCTTTTCGCACAGATTTGGCTGACGTTTGCTCCGGGGTGAATGCTCTGCTAGGTTTGGGGTGGCCCAGGACATGTTGGGGAGGCAGCCTGAATTCACTGTGTAACAGAGGAAGGGTTGGTGGAGACACCAATGCTGTGCACTGCAGGAAGGGCGCTGCCCATCTCCCAAAAACGCTGGGTTTCTGCAGCAGCGTGGATAGCTGCACTACAGGGGGCGAGGGCTTGCTGGCCAGCTGCCCCTGCATGTTGTAGGGCAGCTCATTTTGTTTATTCAGTTAGTCTTTCTCTAAGTCCATAATTTAAGATTAACTGGTTTATCATGGTTTTCAAGACCAATGAAATACATTAACTACTGTACCAAGTATATTTCTAAATTACATTTGTGTAACATCCTCAATTTGGCTGTATTTTGAGTTACACTTTCTTTTTAGGGGAGTAGAAGCAGGAAGAAGAGAGCACTTCTGAAGTTATTCTTTTGTAGAGGGGTGAGGAATACTGGGGATTGAACCTGGGAATACTCTATTAGTGAGTATACTCCCAGCCCTTTTATACTCCCAGCCTTGAACTTGGGATCCTTGGGATTACAGGTGTGCACCACCAGGCCCGGCTGAAGCTATTCTTTTAATGAGTAGAATTTCTGTCCCCTTAGGAAGTATTCTCATACACTTGTATCTGATTGTCACAGCTGTATTTCAAAACCTTTATCCTGGTGGGCTTGCTGAAGTCAGACAGCTGGTAAAGGAAGACTTCTGACGGAAGATGCATTGGATAATTGGAGAGCTGATTGCCCCTGCTTACTTGCATGTTTGGGATAGAAATGTCACATGTGCGGAGTCAGTATTTCTTTGTTGGGCAGTGTGGTTAACTTAATTATTATATTTCCTCTTCTCTTAGGGTTCAACGTGGGCAGGAGTGGTGCTGGAGGGAGATCGACAGTCAGGGAGATTAACCGGGACGCCTGCCACTTCCCTGGGTTTCCAGTTCTCCAGTCCTTCCTTCCTAAACACACTAATGTCCCTGCCCTCTATTTCCTCCTCATGGCCTTGTTTCTGCAGCAGCCAGTTAGTGAGCTGCCTGAGAACCCGCAGGTCAGTGTGCCTGTCGCCAGCAGCCGATGTAAGCAGGGTGGCCAGGTAGGAATTACCTAGTAAGGTGTGCGTGTGACTTGTGGAACGATCACCTTGGGTCCGGGTTAATCACGTGAAACCAGTTACTGATTCCACCACTTTCCTCACATTTAAGATTTGATTTGGGATGGAAACAGTGTGAAAATTCTGTAGAAAGCTTTCCCAACAAGAAGGGCTTTGCCACTTCTCGGCCTCTTTTGCTTTGTGGTTACTCTCTGATTACAAATGCATAGAAGGTGGAATGGTATTAATGGTCATAAAAAGAATTCTTTGGAGTTACACAATTTTTAACTAGAAATATGATTTAATTTCCAGAGAAATTTAGTGCAGGTTCTAATTAGAAAAAATATTTTTAATTTCTTAATAATAGATAACATTGACATTAGGAAAACAATGATTTTATTTGACTTCCAGGTGAAAACTTTTGTGGCTGTCTGTGTAAATCTTGTATTTATTACACTACAGAGCTTTAGGAATTCAGCTTTTCAACTCAACTTTACTTCTGTATAATGCCAAATAATATTCAGATTAATTTTGGTAGTTGACAGACTTTCTAAATGAGGTCACTTAGGCTGAATGAAGCCTTTTAGGAAATCAAGACTCAGAGTCCTGTGTCTGCTTGCTTAACTGGTTTTGAAACACATATGCCACCATAGTAATAAAATATTACATAAAACTGGTATGAACACAGCTCTTCAAATTGATTTCTGTTTTGTCAAGTCTCACCTGTAAAGAATCTAGATTTGAATTATAACATTTGCTGAGTGGGGAAGGTGGTGTCGTTGTGCCTTTAGAAAGATCTTCCTTCAAATCCTCACTTCTGTAACTTCATCTTGGCTAATTAGCTTGTATTTTATTTTTGCTTCTTTAGAAAAAAGATAGAAAGCAGCATACCTAAGACAGGTCACAAGATAATACCTAATATAACTATAAAAAGGGGTTTTGAAATGGAGGGTGGAGAGTTGCTAGGTCTCTATTTCTTCTTTGCTTACTTTAAAAGAAAAGAATCAAATAAATTTTAGAATATTGGAACTTATTAGAAACTCTCCTGAAAAAAACTACTAGTGACTCATCTCTGATCCCTTTGGCCTCCGCAGTTTGATTTGGATTCCATCTGGACGTTTATCTTTGGTGTCCCCGCCTCCAGCGGAACCGTGGTCTCTTCCATCCACAATGTGTGCACAGAGGCTGCTTTTTTGTTGCTGGGCATGCTCCGTAGCATGCTGAATTCGGTAAGCAGAGGTGTCCGCTTAGTGTCAGCCTGCCTGTGACTTTGCTTGCTTGTTGATTTGAGTAGAGGAATCTGCTGATGGTTTACCATTGCTCTTTATTTGCTGCAAGGTCTCTGTTTCCTCCACTCTGCTTTACCATCTGCGATGGAAGAACGTAGCATGTGGTTGTTAGGATACAGACTCTGGAACCCGGGTCCCACCTCTGGTACTTCACACATGCTAGTCGCTGTGTGCCTCAGTTTCCACAGCTTAAAGGGCTGGTGGTAACAGAGGATTTCATGAAGTAGAATACAAATAAAGTACTTGAAAGAGAGCCTGGCATGTAGTGAGTGCTTCATTGTACTGATATTACTAATGTGATGAGATAAAGATTATGATGAATGCATGTGCATAACAAAGATTTATTTTATGTTATGACAGTAATATACTGCTTGAACTCTAAAAGTTACTCTCCTTTAGAGATTAAAAATGTCAACAGTACAAGTTTTTATTTTCTGCTTTTTTTCTGATTATTTCTAAATTGGAAATGAACAATTGAACAGAATGTATGTATATTCCTATCTGTTGCACAGGACAGTGACTTAAGATTTCTTAAATTATATGACCCTGACAAATCTAATTTACACAAAACTGTTGTTAGGCCATCTAAGAACAAAATGTTCTCCTTAAATGGATTAATGTAGAATGCTTGGGGATTCTTATTTTAGTGCCTGTTGATAAATACAAACCATTCTAAGTTAATGAAAAAGCCAATTTCTGGACAGGTATCAGAAAATACACATTATTCATATATATACATATATATAGAGAGAGAGACAGAGACAGAGAGAGAGAGAGAGATCTATCTATACACACACACGTGCGCGCGCGCACACACACACACACACACACACACAGATTACTTTTGTTTTGGTACCGGGGATCGAACTCAGGACCTTGTGCTTGCGAGGCAGGCAGCGGAACTCTTTTGTTTTTGTTTTGAGACAGGGTCTCACTTTGTAGCCCAGGCTGGCCTCAAATTCACAGCGACCCTCTACCTTAGCTTCCTGAGGACTGGCATTACAGGAGTGCACCACTACACTGGGCAATTTCTTATCATCATTTTTGTTGTGATCCAATACTTAAGAGTACTATGCCTACTACTGTATGTGTGATAGTGAAAGGCTCAGGAGGACAAAGTGATTCCCATCTTTTCCTTCACTCCTGGCTCTTTGGCATGATGCACATGGGGTGGCATTGGTAGTAACACAGCCAGAGCTAGGCTCTGCACTCTTCCTGTTGACAGTGACAAATAGTCAAAGCCCTTGACATCGTTAGTGGAGTTCTCCAGTGCACACACAGACATCCTCCCAGTTTCCAGGGCTTTGCTTGTTTACATGCATTTGCACATGTCTTTGCTTACGTTTGTGGTTTATAGAGTCCTGGACCACTGACACATCCAGTTCTGGACGAGCAGTGAGCAGTGGGTGTTTTAAAGTAATTTTTAAGGTGTCCAGTTCTGTAATGTCTTTCTGCTCTCGTCTGTGTGCCAGCCGTGGCAGTCAGAAGAAGAGGGGTCTTGGCTGCGAGAATACCCAGTGACCCTGATGCAGTTCTTCCGCTATCTGTACCACAACGTGCCTGACCTCGCCTCCATGTGGATGAGCCCAGATTTCCTGTGCGCCTTGGCCGCGACCGTCTTCCCCTTCAACATCCGCCCTTACTCAGAGATGGTAGGAAAGGGGAGGAAAGTGGCAAAACTGGAGCTAGTCTGTGCAATGGTTAGCAGATACTTTTTTGCCAATCTTTTAAGTTTCTGACCAAGTTAGTTTAATAACTTCATAGACCACCTTTTATGTGATTGCCTTGTGTTCCTAAGCACCCTGCAACTTCCTCCTGTTTTCACCTAAAAGAACAGAGAACCCTTCTCCTTGTTTTCCTGTATTCTTGTGAGTTCCTTGTTAGTCATTCCCCTCTCCAACTTGTGGTTGATTTGTGTCTTACTTGACGTGATGATAGTTATAAATGGTATAAAAAAGTTATAAATGATGATAGTTATAAATGCTATTCTCAGCCAACAGAACTCTAGTTAGACCAATTTTTTCCTTTTTATTTCAAAAAGTAGGCATTTGCTGAATTTAATGTTTACAAATGAAATACAGAGTTGACTATTTTTTTCCTAGTAATTGAAGTTTTACTTTTTAAAAAACATGTTAACAAATATTAAATGTTGTAACTGCATTGTGAACATTATAACAAATATAAAACACAAAAAGTCAACATTAATGTTAATATCTTATGCCTCATTTAGATTTAGATATTGAGTGTTTTATATTTTATAGAAAGAAACCTTCAAAATTTCGCCAGTGCTGGGCTGGGGATTTAGCTCAGTGGTTCCACTGCCTGCCTCGCAAGTGCAAGGTCCCAAGTTTGATCCCCAGTACCAAAAAAAAATTTCACCAGGGCTTTCATTGTATGTACTGTTATTCCTCACCAAAATCTTTAGTGAAATTTAAAAAGCTGGTATTGAGTTGAATATTTTAAAGCATGGCCATTTTGAATTAACTTTCAAAATTTCAGAGCACAGAAGATACTTGAGTAGAGTATCCAAGAATATATTTTAACATGGGCCGATTTTGTTTATAATTATGGCAGAAATACCTTTAAGATAGAAAAAACAAACCAAAAAACCCCATGTAAATATAAAAGGTGTCTTGGGTCAAGTTATTTCTTGGTACAAATAATATACCATGGCAATCAATTTTTCAATCATACTCACAAAAGCACTAAAAAATTGCACTTTATAATTGTTGAACAGTGCATTTATGTGGTGAAAGAAGATACAGAAGATACAAGAAAACTTACAGAAACAAAGTTTCAAACTATTCCAACTCCTAAAGTAAGAGATAGTACCTCTTAGTTCTTCTGCCCAGCTTTTCTTATTTTGCTTAACGTTTTTCTTATTTTGTACTAATTTAATAAAGAATTATTAGAATATAGGGCCGGGGATTTAGCTTAGTGGTTCTGCCACCTGCCTCGCAAGCACAAGGTCCTGAGTTCGATCCCCAGTACCAAAAAAAAAGAATTATTAGAATATAATCACATAAAGTATAGATACTTCTTTTGTTCTTCGAAACAGGCCCCCAACATAGTTATTTCTGCATAGTACTTCAGAATTTCATGATGTTTCCTCTTCTGTCATGTTCTGGAAGGCCTGGAATAAATTACCTTTTTCTTACTTTTCTCCATGTATAAAGGTAAAATTGTCATTCTAAAACTGTAGGGAGTTTTAGGAGATAGGCAGGTATACTAAAACACATGACCTTAGCACTCTCATTTGTTGATAATTTTAGAACCCTTATTTTTGGTAAAAATGTGACTCCATGATATTTAAATATCTCATCAACATCTTATAATTTGTCTTCTAGACTGTTTTTCTCTCTCACTCAAAATTGGCAATAGTTTCGTTGCTTTGTGTGTTCACTTGGCCTTTTTTCTCCCACAAAGAAAATGTATCAGGCCTTAGGTATTAGCATTATGCCAAGTTTTTATCTAAGATGTGACTGACTTTTCAGAGGGTACATTTCACATATGAAAAAGTAGTCATCCTTGTGCTATTATTTCATTTAAGGGCTGTTATCCACAAGATATCTGTAATTCCACAAAAAGCAGGTACATGGTTTGTGGTCAGTCAGAGGGGCTGTATGTATGTATGTATGTATGTATGTAACTGACATATGGTGCTGTGTACCACCGTGGAAGCCCACACTCAAGCACAGCAGAGTGAAATAATGTGCCAAATGGCTTGGTAGGAAGTAAATCATGAAGGAAGTTGCTGTGCTGCTGTTTTATTTTTTGGAAACACACAGTGAAAGTGTCACAGTGAGTCTCATGTGATTCCCCTTGATCTTGATAGGTGACTGATCTTGATGATGAAGTTGGATCTCCTGCGGAAGAGTTTAAAGCCTTTGCCGCAGACACGGGGATGAACAGGAGCCAGTCGGAGTACTGCAATGTGGGCACCAAGACCTATCTGACCAACCACCCCGCTAAAAAGTTTGTTTTTGACTTCATGCGGGTCTTAATAATAGACAACCTCTGTCTCACCCCCGCCAGCAAGCAGACGCCATTGATCGATCTTTTGTTGGAGGTAAAGACAAACACATTTCCATTTTGTCTGCATTGCTTTTGTAATGAGACCATTAATAAGCAAGCTCTGGATCAAACACCAGATTTCTAGTTCTGAGTTCTGTAAGGACAGAATATAGCATGGGCTATGGAGCATTTCAATTCTCCCATGTGCTTTAGACTGTATCAATGTGTTCTTCCCTTTCTCTTACACACTTCCCTAATTCAGTCATTTTACCATCCTTTCTCTAAGAATTGGAAGACTTTTCTGGAAAGGATTAAATAACTATTTTAGACTTTGGGCCTTGTAGTTTGGGTCATACCTCTTGATCCACACCTGTATAGTATGAGAGCAGCCATAGCCCATGCCAAAGGACAGATTAGGGCTGTGCATGAAATGTGATACACAGAGCTGGGCACAGACTGGATTCTGCTCATGGGCGGTCATGTGCCAGGCCCTTCACGGGACATGGATTACTCCCAGCAGCCTTGACCCCTCACCTCGGGCTCACTTCCTCAACCCCTCCCTCATCATTGCCAGGCGTTTTGCTGCTACCACCTGTGCAGCTGCAGGCAGGAAGCACTGCATGCTGCAAGGCCCAGTGTGCACCTGGTGAATGTCCAAGCAGCCAGCTTCTGGGTCACGTCCCCATCCTCCTGGGAAGTGACCTCAGCCAGTGATGTGTCAAGGAAATGATAGCGGCTCTACCCCTGAAGCGCCTCACTGCTGGTCTAGAAATTAGCCATTTGTGAAAACCATTTAACAATGTTCATCTGGAACAGTCTCCAGAGAAAACAAACGGTCCAAGAGAGGGAATCCAGTACATAAACGCTTTCCTGTAGATTCCAGTGGCAGTGGCTATGAACAGGGGCACTGGTCCCTGAGGAGTGGAGGAGACTGCAGAGATAGCTGCTTCTCAGGAGCCCGCTGCTCTCCACAGGGACATCCCAGTCGGAGTGCCCTGTGCTCCCCCTAGTGGCTGATGTGGTTACTTGTTCATGTGAACATTAAAACCACAGGTGTGATTTTACTCATGTGAAAAAGTCGTTTAATCAATTAAAGGAAGTCACTAATGTAGTTTAGGACCCAGGCATGCTAAGCATTTTAGCCAGGATCACAATATTCAATATTGGCAGGAAAACAATCCATGTGGGAGAGTTCAAAATCATGCCCAGGTGAGCTTGTCCTCTTCGGAGTCTGTGAAAAGCTCTAAGAGAAATGCTCAGTATTGAAGTGTGCAGGGAAAAATGAGTAGCATTCTATGAAAACTGAAATGGTAATCAGAGAACGACAGGACCACGTTCAGAAAGGTTGTGTGCAAGAAAGCATAACTGAAGCTAAACATAAAATACACATTTAGGAAAGGTATGCAGTGAGTGGATATATCTACCGATAGCATTTTTCAAACTTAAAAGTACTTAATAAATAATCTTTTAAAATCTAAAACAGTCTCTATCTCTCTGCCCGCCTCCCTCTCCCCCACCCCAGTTCTGGGGTTTGAACGCGGGACCTCATACACACTAGGCAAGCACTCTGCTACTGAACTACACCTCTGGCCCTTTTTATTTTGAGACAGAGTCGCACTCAGTTGCCTAGGCAGGCTTTGAACATGTAGTCCTCCTGCCTCAGCCTTCTGAGTGCCCGGGACTATGTGCATGTGCCTCCGCACCCGGCAAGATCTCTTTTAAAACAAGAACATTATGACCATTTGTTGACTTGTTCCATATCCAGCTTCTGTCAGAAGCCGTGCTAAAACTGCTGTCATTTGAGGATGATGAAAGGATCTGTCCCTGCCATCCCTGTGCTCCCTGGGCACTGTCCCTCACCAGGTTTGATACTTGAACTTTAGACAGTTAGTTGTCTTCCCACAGAACTGAGAGAAGCTCTCAGAGGATATCACTTAACTTCATGCCCTAAGCTTTTATGCAAGATAATTTTTAAAGCCATCTTGTTCCTTATAAAGCTGTTACCAAAGATAGCACCTCTAGGGCTGCTGGCTGTCTTCTGAGAGCATTCCTCTTAGGCAAAGGAAATCCTTGCTGGTAATCTGATGTGCTTCTTTTGTAGGTCATCCAAAGCTTTATAAACCACATTTGGTTTCTGCTTTGATACCTGTGAAGCTTGAAGCTGAATTATGTGCTCAGTGAATTGTGTCATGAATACTTGCCATCCCTTTGACATCTCTCGATTACCCTATTTTTTTTTTCTTTTTTGGTACCGGGGATCGAACTTGGGTCCTTGTGCTTGTGAAGCAAGCAGCGAAACCACTGAGCTAAATCCCCGGCTTGATTACCATATTCTTGAGCTTTGTATATATTTAAATGTCCTTCTGATTTTATCTGTGTTTTATTATAAACTGCCAGATCTCTTGTGGAAGTGAAGTATAGATTATCAAATATTTATTAAATGCTTACAAAGTTTAGAATAGTGTTTTTGAAAGAGTGGATTCAAAGTAGATGTTTCAATTCTACTTTAATTTTTTTTTAAGTTCTATGGCCAGAAAGATAAAAGAAGGATTATAACCATATATGCCATCTTTTGTGTCAGATTTTTAAAAATTTGCCATTAGGAGTTTTTTCATCTTTTTGATACATTTCATAGTATAAATATCGTTAAGCCCCTACCTCTGTGTAGTTAATTCTGTCTCTAATTTTAATTTTTATTGATTTAGGCTTCCCCTGAAAGATCTACAAGAACTCAACAAAAAGAATTTCAGACTTACATTTTGGATGGTGTGATGGACCACCTACTTGCAGCTGATGTGTTATTGGGTAATTCTGTTTCATTTTTATAGTATAAAGGGCTGGTCCAGAAATAAGGTCGAAAGACATCAGAATATGTTTCTGTAATATGTTGGTATCCAGTTACAATAAAAATGCAGAACTTGATACAATTACAATAGACCCATTGTTTACGATAAGCAAAATTAGAATTCTTAAGAGAAAGAAAAGTAATGGTTTAGTTTATGTACTGCTCTACATTCCCAGTGATAATATGAATCATAGAACCTCTATACTATTGAATTAAAATTTTCTTCCAAAGTAAATTTGCCAGGGAATCTTTGACATTTCATTTTCTTAACATGTAACTGTGTACCCCCAAAACCAAGTGTCAAGTCATACTTTTGTACCTGTTCATCATTAGTTGAGATCATCCATACCACATAAAGATAAAAGAGTTTCGCATAACGTAACAAGACAAAATAATAATAAACATGTTCTGTGGAATCTGCAGGATTTCTGCGGAGGAGGGGGGCTCAGAGGGAGTATTCTGTGGAGAAGACAGGGGTGGGGATTATCTTGAAGCAGCATGTGTTTAGCCACATTTAAAGAAAGAACACTAGGGTGGCCTTAGAGACAGATCACAGGGGGGCCACAGATCCCCTGATTGTCACAATTTTCCTAAAGCTCTCTTCTGCCTGTCTTAATTCGTTGCTATTAAAGATATACCCCAAAATAGAGAGTTACATTTGATGGGTTATCATCTACTCTGTGTAAACTGACTTAGTTTTTCTCCTCCATGGAGTTGGCCCACTACTGGCAGCTGAGTTGAAGCACTCTTTGCTTGTCACAGATGGTCTTTAGGCATTCGAGACCTCATGGATATCTTGATCCATCACATTTTTATCTGGGTAAAACTGTTTCTTGCAGTAATTATTCTGATTTGTGGCCATACACATCATTTTCCTAAAATAGTACATAAGTGCTTGATTGTGGTCATATTTCCTCAGTGCTATAGAGACGATCACTTTTCTTTAGCCTGATGTCTTTGAGAATCTGGTCTCGTGCTAGTAGTTGTCAATTTTCTTAGACTTCTTTTCCTCCTGGAATTTAGGGGAAGATGCATCTCTGCCTATTACCAGCGGAGGAAGCTACCAGGTATTGGTGAACAATGTGTTTTATTTCACACAACGTGTGGTGGACAAGCTTTGGCAAGGCATGTTCAACAAAGAATCTAAACTTCTTATAGATTTTATAATTCAACTAATTGCACAGGTAATCCATTGTCTCTATTAGTTGTAGAGTACATGTTTTCCTTCTGAAAAATTTTGCCTATGATGTCAACATTATTGGAAATAATTGTAACTAATGGGATAATGAATGTTAACATTAATATAAAGCTAAGCTTATCAAAAGTGAATGAAAGTATTCTTATAACCCTTCCTCTTACCAGTAGCCTGGTGCAGTGTGTCCCTGGTGAAGTTGCCTCTCTCTTCCAGGCTGTCTGTCTCTTCTGCCCTCCCCACTGCTGTTCTCCTTTGCCTACCAGCTTAAACACCTTACATTCATGCAGTCAGTATGCAAAGGCTACCAAGCATGGCGAGTAGGCATTGAAGAGATGCTCTCTCGTCATTGAGGCTGTACCATGTCCATGTGACCCATGTGCCTTTGAAGATGTGCTTTGTTTCTTGTGCATGTTTGGCTGAAGGTGTTGGCCTGGCTTGGCGCCGGTAATTAATCGTGCCCACTGCATCCTATAGAGAAGGAAACACTGGCCAATAATTCCAGTAATTGTTCTGATTTGTACCCATAAACATCATTTTCCTTGAATAGTATGTAAGCACTTGTGGTTGGTGGATTGTGCCTGTACGCTGTGCACAGGTGCAGAAGTTCCCTCCTGTCCCCCAGGCTCTTCTCAGAGACGTATTTACAGCTAACTCAGAGAGAGCTTCTTAACAAGGAGATACAACTAGAACATCAAAATAAAACATTGTGAACTCTATAATAGCAAGAACTCAGTGGTATTTAACTTAACACCCCCAGTACTTAGCATGGCATGTGGTACATAACAGCTAATCAGAGTTCATATCTGAATGATATACAAGCCTTTCCTTTTTGTCTGTTTTGCTAAAAATGTGTCTTTCAATGTCTTTAGTCAAAGAGAAGATCACAAGGGCTGTCGCTGGACGCAGTTTATCACTGCCTCAACAGGACCATCTTGTACCAGTTCTCGCGAGCTCACAAGACTGTCCCTCAGCAAGTAGCACTCCTGGATTCACTCAGGGTCCTGACTGTCAACCGGAACTTGATCTTGGGACCTGGGAATCATGACCAGGAATTCATCAGCTGTCTTGCTCACTGCTTGATTAATCTACATGCTGGAAGGTAATTGTTGAGGCTCAGTTTGCCATGTTAAGTTCCTCTTTCATATTATTCCACCAGAATTCTTTAACTTTTTTGGTAATAACATTCCACTTTCCCTTTTTTCTCCTCTTCTTAATACTTTATGCAAATGGAAAAGGACAAGTATTACATTTATTTGTAATGGAAAAAAAGTATTTTTTTCCTTTAATTTACTTTTTCTCATTTTAAATTTTTCCATAATCATATGTCCCATATAATTTAAAAAAGGAAGTATGCTTTCAAAGCAAATAAAGTACACACTGTTAGAGCTAAGAAATATAAAAAGAAAAGCTCAGTGTAATGTTATGGGTTAAAGGGGTGAAATTCGTATTTTCTTTGGATTGCTTTGACATAGTTCTGTAGTGCATGTTGGGGTCCAGTCCCTGAGTTAGGGACTGGGATAAATGTAACGTAGACCTTGTGGCAGCCCTCTCTGAGGAGGAAAACAGACACCTAGGGCCCATCACCCCTTGGGTGCTGTGGTAGCACATGACAGGGGCCTGTTAGATGGAGTTGCAGGTGGGGACAAGTGCTGAAGAAAGAGCTGTCAGGGAGATTGCCCAGAGGACAGAAGGAGGGGGTACATGTGGGAAGCTGCAACTCTGTCACTGCTACTAAGCAGTCTGGAGAGGACCTAGGCATATTGAAATGCCCTAGTTAAATCAACTTTGTGTAATTTCTAGGTAACAATGTTAACAGTAATCCAAAAGCATCTTAAACACAAAGATGATCACTGTGATACTGTAGATTAGTTTAATTGTATTTAGCTAAGTGAACTTGGGAGATAGCCCTTAAAAACGGTATCTTCTTGATAAATTAGTGTTCTCTTTTATGCATCTGCCAAAAATCGAACTCTGGGGAGCCTTTACATGCGTCTGCAGAATGGTTCTGTTTTGTTATAGTTTTTAGCTACAGTTGTTTGCTTTGGATAGTTTAACTTGACTTGAATTTTTCAGCAATGTGGAAGGGTTTGGACTGGAAGCCGAAGCACGCATGACCACGTGGCATATAATGATCCCCTCTGACATCGAGCCAGACGGTAGTTACAGTCAAGATATTAGTGAAGGTAAAGCTGCCTCACTAAGTTTGAGTGTCATTTTATTCATCTCTAGTTTTTAAGATAAATACAAAAATTGGACTTCAAAAACTGCCAACATTAGCAGCTACTCTCCCAGTAGTGCAACTTACACATGCACCAGTGTGCACGTAACATGTCTCCTTGTACAAGATGGTAAAGAGACACGCGCAATCGTGGTGGTGTTTATACTTCCACAAGTAAAAGTGGAGAGAAAACTTGCATTTACTTTAAAGAAAACTGCCTAAATGAATGCCTGATATAAAGCATGTCCACATTACAGGCAGCTAATGCTTGAGATGGGTTATCAGTAATACCATTGTTGCTCGCTCTTATTTTCGTCTTTCACATCTAGTTTTCCCACTGATCTCAAGCTTTGCACATTGAAGTCTTCATGTGGATTGATTTCTTTTTTCCACTTTTGGTGGTTTTAAAGCTGAGATCACTATGGTGTGTTTGTGTTACAGCGATACTCTGTGGTAATTTTGCACATGGTTTTATGCTTGAGAAGTTCAGCACTTAAACTTTTTTTTATTCCATTAAGTTTATTGGTACATTTTATGTATAAAATACAGTTACATTCATCATTAGGATCTTGTACCTTTGCATGATGTATCTTGGTTCTTATTTTTTCGCCTTCCCCTGACATCCCTTCACCCCCTTCACCCTTCCCTATTTCCAAAGACTTTGTTTCCTTTTTTTTTCTTTTCTCAAATTTTTTATTTTCCCTTCTTTCCTTTCCCCTACCCCTCCCACTTGCCCTACTCCTCTAGACCTTTTCTTCCTATTACACAATATCAATTATACATTTTTAAAATTACAATATCAAGATCTAAAAGACATTACCACAGATTTTACAGAATTTAAAAGGATATAGAAAGTATA